TGGCAACGGCATGGCTCACTACTGTGGAAGCAGTGCCAGCACAGAACATGTTGCAGCATCTTTTCTTTCCTGAACTTCTGAGGTGGGACCAACAGCATGGGATTTTGGGGCTATGGCGCAAGGCAGACTGCACAGACTACAACTTGAGAGTTGACTGGAGCACCTGATCTGGCATTATCTGGGCTGAGCACAGCCTACCAGTTATGCCATAAACACTGGAATGTGACTGGGGAGGTCTTTTACACTCTGACTGGACTTCAGCTCATCTCTGTGCATACACCAACCGGAGTTACTTATCTGCCTACTCAGCTAATCCAGCACTCGGAGTCTAAACTCTGGAATAAGCCCTGAGCATGTCTCTACAAATCTCCTATACCACCCAGTTTGGGTCAAAGGCTACAGGTACTTGCTCACCAGTGAAAGTTAGTGATAAACCCCAGCAAAGGTGTCTAGCCACCAATAGCACTGAAGCCTGTTGTCAATCATATCACATACTGTGGTATATGCTCACTTGTGAGGTAAGTGATGCCCTTTCATATTTACCAATCAAAAGCCTCGGGACTTCAAAATGACACGTAAGAAGATTGGCTTGGATAAACTGTCCTTGTTAGGACTCAGGGAAGAACAGCCATGTGGAAATGATACTGATAAGACCACCAATCTTTGACACACATCAGGAAAGACCAATTCTGCTAACACCCTGACCTTGAACTTTCAGCCTCTAAAATCAAGGGAAAAGAAATCCTTGCATAAAGCTGCCCAGACTGTGGTGAGTGTCCCTCATCATGGCAGTTTTGGCAAAATACAACAGGCTAAAAGAGCTTTTAGATTTCCACCAGTGAGTCGACCTCTTAACAGTCGCTTCTATGAACTGTACAAGGAAAAACTACCATCTGTGATGGAAAAATACCCTCTCCAGAAGCCACATTTCCCTCCCCCTGTCTGATAACACTGCAGAAAATAAGTGCAGAGTACACAAAAAAGAATTATAAACACAGGAAGTGTAAATCAAGCCATAACGCAATCCTAAAAATATTCCATGTGAGGAATGAAAAGGGGTACAGGAAGGAAACCATCTTATCAAAAGCAAGTATCTCTTGTGGAAAGATCTAGAACCTCCTGTGTGCCAGCAGTGTAATGGAAATGAGTCATCCGTGAAGAGCTGTCCTGTAGCATGAAGTTCACCTCCAGAGGTGCTCACGCCTGAATCTCAGACATTATGCTCCCCCCTTTTCCAGCATGATGGGCTTCTCCTCCACTGAGCTCACCTGGGATACTGCATCACTGTCATGCCATGCCCCACACCACCGTGGAATAGCCATCCCCACTTCTTACAGAGGATTGCCTGCAGTGTGTCTGGAGCAGTGCAAGTGAGGACAAAGAGAGAACCAGCCTGGGGCAGAAGGGATAGCTAGCTCAAAGGCAGATGCAGTTGGCAAAGGTACTGCTCCAAAGGACTTTAACAGGCCCATGGTGCCATAACACAGGCATGGCACCATGGCTATCACGGGTAGAGTGGATGCCATCACTGAATGGTCTGTGCTCAAGCTGCCCTTCTCTAAGCATTGATTAGACAGAAAGACCAGGCTATTCGGGGCCTAGTCAGAGGTGAGCAGAGGAAGCACAGAAAAGCCCAGATGCCAGCAGGCAGCAGCCACGGCAAGTGGAGAGATGCCCCACCAGGACCATATAGAATGTGGGAGCTCTGGGACATGACAAGGTCAGGAGGCCAAGGCTCTGTGAATGTCCAGACTCCAGACCCCTTCCTGTAGGTGAATACACAGGGGCACAGTGCCCTTAACAAACAAGAAATGAGATTCCCCACTTGATATGGAACCTGCCAGCCCTGGACCTGCAGAACCATGAGAAAGAAGGTCCTGTTGCCTGTAAGTACCTGCCTGAGTAGTGTAAGCAACTGCAAGAATCCATGTAAACACCCATGAACAACAACCTATGTAAGCACCCCGGTACAGCAGTATTCTGAACAAGAAAGGCCAGTCAGGGAACCATCAAGAAGGAAGAGGCAAGGCTCGCACTCACAACACCACCAACCAAAACCGCCCTCTGGATACAGACTCAACACAAGCCTCATACTTAAACTCAACTGCAACATACTTCAAAATGACACCCCTACCTGCCATGCCCTGGTCTCTCAGTCCAAGCAGCTCCCTCAGCACAGCTCTCAGAAGGGTCAGTAGAGGCTGGCTCCTGGCCTCCAAGCCTGGCTGTGCTTTATGGTCAGTGATACACCAAGGTTAGGTTCACTGGCTCCTGGGATCACCCAAACACCACTGCTGGTCACTTTCTGCTTCTAGAAGAGTTCATGTCAGGTTGCTTCTAGTTCTGAGGCCAGCATTGCTCTCCAAGGTACCTTGTGCTCACTGGGACTGCTGCTGTCCCTGCCCTGATTCCTTCATTTCAGTGACTATAGAAACTTTCCTATGTGCTATAAAGAGAGGGGGCCACACAGTGAGGAAATGTCCCACATGGTATCATGGCATCCATCCCCACACAGACTCAATGTCTCCCTTACCACAGGCCTGACCACCACCACCCCAAATGGTACCTCAGAGGATCCCCACCTGGACTTGCAAGTTCAAGTTGGAAATGAAACTTTGATGAAGGTTTCAAGCCATCAATTCAAACTCCCTGCAAAGGACCAGAGCAGTACAGCCCCAGAGGCGAATGGTCTCAAATGGTCCACTTATAAACATAATTCAGTAGCCATGGGTCACCAACATGTGACAAGAACTGCCTCCAGGTGGCCTCTAGATGTCCATTCATACCATCATTTACCTAGCCAACTGGTAAGAGACAGAAATCCACAGGAATACTTTCCTGAGCTGAAGCAGCAGCCAGCCCCACAAGGACACACAGGGCCAGCAACAGGCCAAGTCCAGGCATGCTCACTCACCAGTAAGCATCTCCATTGCCCATGCCACCCAGCTCCAGTCCTTCCCTGTGCCACCTGATCTTTCTCCAAACCACCTTAGTGACCAAGGATTACCTCCTAACCATAGAACCTCTAAACTGCCCTACATCTCCTGCTCAGAGCCACTTTCCAGTGGCCACAGCACATACAATGTTTACTAGGGCCTGTGTCTGGCTGTGTTGCCCACTATGGGGCACACAGTAGGGGGTAGGGTGCCTAAGCAGGGCTCCTCTAGAGGGGAGAGAGGGTAGCCAATTAAGGTTAAGTGACCATCTCTCTGATAGTGAGAAATGCTTGAAATGCATCCAGATGACATGATGTTGTGATGGGGGAGGTCCTTCTGTGTATATATTTGTTTTATTGGTTGACAAATAAAGCACTGTTGGCCAATAGGGAAGCAAGGTAGGCGGGACTAGGAGAGAAGGAGGATTCTGGGAAATGTAGGAAAGGGAGGAGTCGCCATGTGACCCCAGGAACATAGTACACTAAGGCCGGTGTCCTTGATAAGTCTTTATAATATATATAGATTAATGGTTATGGTTGATATTTAAGACAGAGCTAGCAAATAAGAAATCCTAGTCATTGGCCATCAGCATTGCAACTAATATTAATCTCTGTGTGCTATTTGGGGGCCCTAATGTGGTGGTGTTAATCAGGCGGCTGGCGGAAAGGCTTATCCTTACAATATTGTCTGTCTCCCATCCTGTCCCCCCACCCCCTCCCCACCTGCCAGGCACTGTCCTGGAAGACTGATGTCCATTTGTTCCTTTCATGTTCACAAAACTTAAACATGGTTCTCACTAGGCAGATGCCACAGCTACCAAAAGAAAAGGGCCAGGCATATCCCTTTCCAATATGATGAGCTTCCACACAGACACACATGTAAAGGAAGGCACCATCAGGAAGCATGAGGCCAAGCTGCTGTGACCATCTTGAGCCATGATCTTCCAGTCTAGCACCTTAAGGACTATCACAGGTATGTCATAGGCTCTTTTGGCCTATGAAGCACCTTCAGATTCTCTTCTGCAATAGACCCTATGTCCCCAGGAGGCACCTCCAGGGCAAACAAATCACTCTGTTCTTCTGTACTTACTGTCCAGTGCTAAGATGGAAACACACAAACAAACAAACCCAAATGCAAGAAAAAAAAAAAAGAGGACTGAGCAAAAATTAAAAATTTGATGAGAAGAGAGGGAGGAAGAAAGATAAAGAGAAGTAGACGAAAAGGGAGGGAAAAAAAGAAGGAAAGAGGGAAGGGCTTGGGAGAAAAAAAACAAAAGGATATGGGAAGACAGGGAGGAAGGTGGCTGGAGAGTGAAGAAGCCCCTCCCAGGGACCTGCATCTACACTGTCACTCTCTGGTCCTAGAAGAATCAGAAGCAACCAGCTCACCAACAGAAAGCTTAGATGGAGGTCTAGCATTGCTTTTCCAGGGAGTGGAGGATAAGGAGCTGCACACCCAGCTTCCAGTCATCCTCCACTCTGAGTTTTTCCACCATTTCCATGGCTCATAAAGAGGTATGAGTGTCAGTATATATGTCCTTGCAAACAGGGAGGTATTCAAAATAAAACACAACACAAACTCCTCAATCACACACCATTTCAACAAAGTAGGTCTGCCAAGACCATGAAAAGATCCTATCTAAATTATTCTACATGTGTCAGAAGCTGTACACATGCCTTGGAGGAGAAGTCACTGTTTTGATTATTAATCACACTGTAACAACACCAGTTATGAGCTGCACATTGGCTCCTGTGAGGCCTGGGATCAAACAGAAGACCAAGCAATGGGATGCTCAGAAGGGCTGTGGCCGAGTGGGAACTCTGCATACACCCAGCAGCTCTGTTATAAAAAATGGTCAAAGACAAAAATCTGACACTGTTATTAAAATATTTTTATTCACAAATTAAAGCCCTTAGAGTGACGGCTGTTTTTCTTTTCCTGTTGGTTATTATTTTCTTTTCTTTGCGAAGTAAGTCATAAACTGGGTGGTTTTTCTTCCTAAAGCAAAAATCAACTTTCCTTCTGGGTGGGTGAAGACAATGATTACAGCACATGGGTACTCACCATAATGTCGCCCTTCAGCAGCTGGGCCGGCTCTATGGCAATGCGGATCCTGCTGGGATTTTCAGGGCCAATATTGCTTTGGGTGAACAAGAAAAGAGATTACACAGTTCCATGATGTCATGACCACGGTAGTACAAGCTGAGAAAATGGCTAGAATTTGCACAAACAGCCCATATTCCAAGTTTGGAGGCTTTACCTTACACAAATGAGTCAAGAAGTTCAAGAGAGTGCTGAGTTTGGGTGAGTTACTTGAGCACCATCATAGCCCCATACTGGAAAGGTCACACTCAGGGATGCCTCAAGCTGGGAGAAGTTCTAAGCTGGGGACAGACCCTGCTTCTGTGACAATGTGAGGATGCACAGTATCATGGAGGAAGGGGGACACTTTTAGTCCAGAAAGGGGATAATGGGTCTTTCTGAGTGTCAGGACATTTACTGCCTTTCTCATTTTGTGTTAGTATACATTACAAACCAAACTCAGGAAGCCATTCAGGTTCTGAGGATATATACCTAAAACACAAGGGAGAAAGGAAAACCCCCAGGGACTTTGTCCTAGCATTTTACAGTACATATACTTCCAAACAGTAGCAATTCCCCTCTCCCCTGGAGATTGCACTGTCCAGCACCTTAATGGAGCCAACTAGAGATTCAGGGACCAGGCACCTCTCAGAGCAGCAGCTTGAACACCTCCTTTGGGCTCTTGGCATTACCAGCTCCCTGGGTCCACTACTTCTTGTGGGAAAGACAACCCATTTAACAACAATTTCCATCCCCCAAGTCACCCTAAACACCCAGCACAAGCCAGGCACTTACTAGATCCCAGATGTGTACACAGGCTGCATGGCTTGGTAGAGCTTCAGAAAGGGCCGGCACGCTGAAAGAGGAACACCAAGAAAAAAAGACAGGATTATTAACCCATGCACAGATGTAACATGGTTGGACTTCCAACCAGAGGACTACTTTACCGGGAGGGCCATAGAGGCTCAAAAGCAACCTGAAGTTCAGTAAGTTCACCTCACTACCAATGACCAGGGGGACTAGAGGCCATGGATACTACCAACTGATGAGTGAGCACCTACCTGGATGCAACCAAGGAGCAGGAGACAAGTCCTGCCCCCAGACACATGCTGTGTATACCTGCATGGGACAAGGGACAGGGTCTCTGGCTATATGCTGTAAGCACCTACATGAAACAGGGAGACAGGGTCCATGGGAATATGCCATGGAGGAAAAAGAAAGGACCCCAAGTTAGGGGATAGTCTACCATGCTGGCTTCTGTCCATTATGGAAACCTTGAGAAGAAGCACACAGCTGAACCACAGAGCTGTTGACTCAGAATGACCCTGGCCTAACAAGAGTTCTGCATCCAGGTCACAGGACTATTTGTCAGTCCTTCACAACTGCCTGTCCCCCCAGTGATTGATGGTGTGGTCCCACCCTACAAAGCTGGAGCTCTTCCCACACACTGGGGCTATGTACACCCCCAGGAAGCATAAGTACAGAATCTAGATACCACCGGAGGGAAATGCTGCTAATTCAACTCTAATCTGGGATGAGAAGTCTCTCTCTCTCACCTCCTCCAGTGTCAAAGTTGGGGACGCCATGCAGGATAACGAAGTGCAGGAACAGGGGTGAGGCATTCATCTTCATCGCTCCAGATAGCAGCCCGCTGAGAAACTGCACATACCTGCAGGGGACAATGGCTAAGACTCCATGGCTGGCTCCCAGCTGCTGAGTATCAGGAGCAGGCAGTGGGGAATGGAAACTGCATCTGGAGGCCCTGTGGACGCCCTGTCCCACTGTACACAGAAAGTAGTGATTGTCCCATGCTTGGGGCTGGGGGAGTCACTGCCTGGCTGGAGCTCTACCCACTGCTCTGGGAACTGCTGACTGTGTCATTTATGTATAAGCATCTCTTTCATGTGGACACCCACACCTGGGAAGTTCTCCTCATCTGTTCCCAAGCCCCTCACAAGCAGGGCCAGAACCTAACACAAAGTCACACTGCACAGGCCCAGCAACTCATTCCACCCAGGATTCCCACATAAATCACGAGGAGCAGCTGCTCTCAAAGGTCCCTAAACTCTGCTCTCCCCACATATCTCCTGAATTCTCTTGTCTCAACTGAGCACACATCCACTGATGGCCATCCACACACTTTGAAGATGCGATTTTTTTCCATATGAATTCCAAGCACTGACCTCAGGCATCCAATTGCACACATGGCAGCCAAGAGAGAAGTTTCCATACTAAGTGCATGTGATCAAAACGTACTCTTAAAGCATGACACAGCAGCCATGCCCAGAGTGTGAGCTGTTGTTACACTCTCATGCCCCCAGGCCTGGCATACCTGTATCCTGCTCCCATGGGAGCCCTGAAGCAGCCAATACCTAAGGCCCCTCTCAGCATTCCCATTATAGCCAAACAATCTCCACCGGAACCTGCAACACCTCTCTTGGAATCTGCCTGCTTTCTTGCCTTTCTCCACCATAGCACAGCACCCATTGCAAGAGGGAAGAAACATGGAAAGATCCCAAAACATGCCATCAGACTATTGGTCCATGCATCACACAGGACGAAGGAAGTGACTGTCACCAATACAGGGACACGGGGTCCTCATACCTCCAAGCCCCTGGGTGTACACAGTCACAGGCCTCACTTTACAATAAGAAAACACTTTAAGTGCCCACTGGAATGTAGATCCAACCCCTTGTCAAAAAGCCAAGTTTGTAGGAAAAAACAAAAAAACAAGCAAACTTTTAGCAAGTGTTTTCCCAACTTAGGGTGTATCCTTTTGGAAAGCTCTGATGAAATTCACAAGTACTCCCTTCACTACAGGGAAAATTCACAGTGACAGACAGGGTGTCAGTGCCCCACCATGCTAGTAGCAGATTGTTCTTATTGTTAGGATGAGCGCTAAACCTCCCAAGCCACAGACACCCAAGGTCCCACAAACTCCCATAGGTGCCAGGCCTCCACCTGCTCCAGGAGCCTACTATGACAGCAGAATTTCCTGACCTGCTGTGTGCAGGCACAGAAGGGAGATATCCTGTACATGGCAGAACTCATTGGTAGCCTTGGCTCTGTGGCCTTCAGCAAAGGTAATGGATCACACACAGGCTCAGGATGGAAGACCTAAGACCGTGTTTAAGACAGTGCATCCCTCTTCCCAGCACTGGATAATACCGGACACGAGGAAATGTGTGTTCCTGGCTTGTCTTTCCTGCAAGGGGGCTTTGTTAAATTGGTACCTGGCCTGACCCCTTAGAAGAGACGATCTTGACACACAGGGACTCGGAGGTATGAGGGCTCTGTGTTGGTGATGGTCACCACTTCCTGCTCTGATGCACACCCCAACTCAGGCACTAGGGTGGACAGGGTGCATGCTCACATTTCCTCATATATGACAAATGCTGCAAACTGAAGATTTGTGACTCCCACTCTCTGTATGGGACAAACCATTCAGGGAGTTGACACTTCTCCCTGCCCAGGGGTCCCCAGCTCCTATCAATACTATAGATGGGGAGCTTCCAAGATGTCGGCTATCTGTCCAAGATTGCTGTTCATGTGTCAGACAAACACAAAACTCCTATCAATAATACAGATGGGGAGCTTGCACAATGTCAGCTGTCTGTCTTGTGGTCCGTGTGTCAAACAACATAAAAAATGTGTTTTTTGTTTGTTTGTTTGTTTGTTTGGGGTTTTTGGTTTTCCTTTGCATGGTGACATGCCTGTGATCCCAGCACCAGGGAGATAGAGGCAAGATGTTCATAACTGTAAGGCTATCCTGTGCTACATAAGACCATGCCTATAGATCACTGATGGACTGATTGATTGGTAGATAGATGATAAATAGACAGATAAAAATAAGTAAATAAATAAAAAACTAACAAAAGAAAAGCATTGCTTTTCCCATGGTGCAGCAACAGGTGACAGCAACAGAAATATGCATCTTCATAAGCTTGCTCATGAGGAAGCTGAAACGGAGAGCCACCGTGTGCAGGTGGTCACTTAGGAAGGGAGGGCCGACCCACCCAGGTCTGTCTTTCCTCATTGAAACGTTCTCATAATGGACATCATTTCCCAGGTTTTCCACTAGGGGGCGCTCAGCTCACAGGTGACCCATCCAAAGAGTCTCCACAGTAAGCTTCTGTCTACAAGTTCTACATCTTCAGATTGAACTAACCTCAGATCAGATATCCTGGAGGAAAAGAACCTGCCTTTCTACTGGAGGCACGCAGATTATTTTCCTCCAATGACTCCCCATATAGTACAGCCAGTTTAGCATAACAGCTAGGCACTCAGTGCTGACACTATCTTAAGTGTTAAATGGAACTTAGAAGGTTTACAGTGAATGGATAGTCAGCCTAAAAGAATAAAGCAAAGTGGACTGAAGACTATGGTGGTAATATGCCAGAAAGACAAATACTGTGTCTTCTCTCATATGTGAACCTAGATTTTATGTATGTGGTATACACATACTCACTACTTGGGGGAAGGAAGGGGACCAGTGGCAGAAGGAACATAGGATTAGCACAATATACATTTATCAAATGTTGTAATAGAATCCATTATTCTGGACCTTAGTAAAGCCTTGAAAACACAGAAGGATATACAGCGGCTCTACACAAATATCAGGCCATTTTATGTAAAGAACTTGGGTATCTGCAGATTATAGACAGAATCTAGATCCAGTCCCCTACCCCACCCCCCAGAGGTTCTGGGCAATTTCTTCTTTGTCCATGGTTGCTTAGAAAGCTGAGTTTCTCAGTCACAAATCCTAAGTTTCTCCCTCAACCTGAAGACATCTAATTATGATCGTGACTTTGAAATAATTTCTTGGCTTCGATCCCAACATAACCTTCAGAAAAGCACCCCCTGTCCACAGGCATTCAGACAACAGGGAGGTGCACAACCGCATGAGAGCAGTCAATCACACATTCTTTCTGGTCTCCGATGTTTCCTGAGGTTCAGCCGAAACACGCATTCAGTTGTTGGACCACTCAGTAGTTACTTGGTTAGTAACAACAGAAACAGGCAGCCCTAATCTCAAGAGTAGAGCAATAGCTTGGAACACAACACTGAACCCTGCTGTCACTATAAAATGTGAATCCAAGAAGGATATGTGCGAGCTGGAACATTTTAAAATGAGATGTTTTCCCTGTTTCTACCCCATACTCCAATATCATTAGAAGCTACTGATTCTATAAGTGGAAAATCCTGGCAGCCACGCTTGCCTGCTGGGTCCAAGCATTTGTGGGAGTTGCATCTTGTTTGCACTTCGTCTTCTGTTAAGTCTTAGGAATTTTGCCATTTTGGAAACTGGTCAGTGGAAAAATAATACTTCATGAGTTCAAAACAGAAACAGGGGCTGTTTAAGTGGAATTGTCACAATATGCTGAAGTTTGCAAAAGTGCCTTCCCTGTGGGGTTTGTTGCTTAAAACAGGACACAGCCTGACTCCAACCCAGGGTCCCACAAGGTATCCCACATTCTTCCAAACCTAGGCCTGAGTGGACCCAAACCACTAGAAACACTATGTCTGTTGCTTCTCATGCTTCTCACTGCCCAGCCTGCAGTCTTACTAGAGAAAGCAGATGTGAAGGATTAAGACTCACATACAAAGGTTTGGGGTTACAACTAAATCCTGTCTCCAAAATGGGAGTCATTTTGCATCTGCTTTTGAAATTCTTGGACAAATTCAGGTGTTTGGTTTAAGACAGAACTGCAGTGAAGCCATGTAAGTGCCTCAAACAGAGAAAGTCCTGCTCCCTAATAGCTGAGTGTCAATAGTTCCACGGGCATGTTGCAGCAAGGACAGGCTGGCAGGAAACATCCAAGAGAACCAATACTGTAGAGTAGAACTCAGCCTGTGATGATCTGAAACCCCATTTGTATCAATAAAGTTATTAGAACACAATCTGAGTCACTGCTTCCATACTAGATATGGTTGGTTTGTATTACAACACTGGTGAGTTGAAGACCACAAACCTGAAACATCTACCTACTACTAGTCTCTCCATCAAGTTTACTGATCCCTGTTCTGCTCTAGCAGAAAGAAGTGAGTTCAACATGACCATGGAAATCAGCGCTCACACTTTGATAGAGACAAAGATGCTCAGGGCTGAAATGAGAAGTGACCTGAGTCATCTTCTCCGGGAGTGATCATGGGGGCACACAGGCCTCAACAGACACACAGATTTCGATAGACACACAGGATGATTCACATCCTTGCCTCGGGAAGCAGCAAATGCCTCCCTCATATTCTTAGGCAAAACCCAAAGGCAATGCAGAGAAGAGGTCAGAGGACCTCCGGCCCCAAGATAGACACATACCTCTTCTGGGAGGGCTCCATTAAAGCTGAAACTTTGTCATCATAAAACTTCTTCATTGCAAACCTGTCCAGGGCCTGGTCAGCGCTGGGTAAGGAGAAGTGGGGTGGGAGAAGGAGTAAGTATGTCAGGTCAGTAATACTGCAGCCCCTCAAGGTTGAATGGCCAGGATGCACACCCCATGTTGATCAGTGACCTCCCACAAGGAGCCACACCTGTCCACACACAGCCCACCATTTTTGTGTAGCAGTTCAAAGCAGAAACCACACTGAACTCCTGTCTGGACTCCTTATCTAAGGGTGTGATACTTAGATGTGCCCCTGGTTCACAAGGAGAGGAACTGGCTGAAAGGGTCCTGAGGGGCCTGACACCTTGAGGAACAAGCCTAGCATGTGTGCATAGTGTATACCCTGTGAAGTCTTAGAAGTATACTATGTGACACTTGGTGAGTGGCTTCATGGAAAGGCTTGGAGGTTGAGGACAGGGCAAAGCTGATGGTTAGGAAGGTGTGTGGGGCTCGGGCTTCACTGTGTATTTCTAAAGTAAGACAAAAGAAAGTGAATCTACTTTGAAGCATCCTAACTGACCTTCAATCCCACCTCCAATGTTCACATTAGTATTCACAGAACCTTCTGGAAATCTCACTGTGGGGCACTCTAGAGTTGCTGACCTGACTTAAGCCATGAAATAAGACTTATTTAAACCAAAAGCATCCTTAAAAATCAGCCAGGCAGCACATGCCTTTAATTCTTTAATCCTAGCAGTCACTCAGAAGACAAAGGCAGGCAGAGGTCTATGAGTTCAAGGCCAGCCTGGTTCACATGGCAAGTTCCAGGCCAGCCAGGGCTACATGGTAAGACCTTGTCTCAAAAAGTAAACAACAACAAAAATCAGATAGGAATATGAGCTCTCCATGGAAAATATGTATGTACCCTCCAGAAAAATAACACATTAACAAATACTGACCATGGCATTTGCAAAACATATGCAGAGATAAGGAGGATGAAGGAAAACACCTAAATCAAGCTCAGTGTGAGTGAAAACTTAACTCACTGCATGTATTTATTTCAACACAACACAGGGCTTGGCCAGCAAGGTAGTCACAGATGGAAAGTCCAGCCCAGACCAGAACATGTCAAACAGCAAGTGGATATATCTTCCAGGTTGAAAGACATAGTTTCATATCCAGTCTTTGACTTTTAAGCATTCTCTCTTCTGGAATCCATTCATTCAATTAGTTTTGAGAAGACACCCTGGCCAATGTTGTTGTTTAGCTTTAACATCATTCCTCTTCTGAACTCTTCAGAGTGCCAGGAACAAGAATGCTCTCTCTGTGTGTCTTGATGTCTCTGGTTTGTGTCACTTGTAGAATAAACTTAAATCAGGTGTGTCCCCTGTGGCATCAAACATATAACTTAAGGGACGAGGGGGATTGGGCACATGTGTAAGAATAGCAGCTCTTAGGGGGCTGGAGGGATGGTTTAGAGGTTAAGAGCACTGACTGCTCTTCCAGAGGTCCTGAATTCAATTCCCAGCAACCACATGGTGGCTCACAACCATCTGTAATGAGATCTGGTGGCCTCTTCTGCTGTGCAGACATACATGCAGGCAAAACACTGTATACATAATCTTAAAAAAAAAAAAAAAAAGCATCTGGCAACAACCTGGGTTCTAAATAAAAGGAATAGCAAACTGGGTAGGAAAATGTAGTAAATGCTTAAATATGTAATAACCATATCCAAGGACTGCAGAGCCTCACAGCCGATAGAGCTGTATTGGGGCAGATGTTCATGAGGTAGGAGTAGCTTAGAAGAGTAAGAGACAAAAGGTGCAGTGATGGTCACCCACTTAACTGGAAAACACCCCTGCTGAACAGCATCATCAGTGGCTACTCAGACTCCTGTGTGATGGATGCTACGCAGAGCACTCTAAGGGTAGAGACATGCAGAATGGCCACGGCATGAGGAGGTTCAACTTCAGTTCTCATGGTTCAGATGAGGCCAGGATTCTGAGGCCCAGAGAGATGCATGCATACTTCCTGACATTTGCATGTGATGTACCAACGATACAGGGAGAGCAGTGTTTTATAGCTCTGGGGATAGGCTTTGGGGAAGCAAGGCTGGTTTCCCAGATGGAGCAGTACCTACAGTTGGGGAAACTTCTCTAAATTGTGCTTACTCGGTGGTCTGTATTAAGAAACAACCGGGCAAAGTGTGGTCTCTGACCAAATTCCTTTCACATAACTGAGGGGCCAATGTGACTGGGAATCTGGATGTGTCTGGCACACACATGATGCTTATTCAAACCCACAGGGCTCTGCTTTTCACCCTGGGGTAGGGTTTCCTCCTTGGCAGCGCCAGCCCCTCGATTTGTTTCCAGAGAAAACATTCCAAAAGTCCAACTTCACTCCTTCACACTGCAGAGGAGAGGTTCACAAGTGAGATGAGAAGGCTTCAGTTTCCTCAGGATGGAATGGCCTGGGTACACAACGCAGCTATTGATATGGCCAGGAGTGTGCAAATGCACAAGCCACCAGGAATGATCCTTTCTTTTCTTGTGCAGCGCTCGGGATAGGAATCTGAGGTCTTGTATCCACTAGGCAAGTGTATTAAATTAAGCCACATTCCTACCCTACACATTTTCTAAGCTGGAGTTTAGTCTTGGCAGAGACCTGTGCCTCAGAAGACAGGAAACACTCTGACTGTCCCATGCCTGGATGGCTGTGCTAAAGCCAGGATACTATTATATTAGAGGAAAACATACAGCAGACTTCCAAAAACATGTAAAAAAATTGATTGTCAATATCAGTTTACAAGGTGTGAAATGATCCAGTGAGGATGTCAACATGGTGACATCAGCTGTCACTTTTTATTAGCGAACCACTGGGCTCGCTTAGTTTTATCACCTTCACAGAGCTCCCTGGCATCAATCACACAGAACGTGTCAAACAGGAACATGTCTTTTTCAGCCTTGCTGAAAGCTGAGTTCAGGCACAGAACACTCTGGTACTAAGGGACAGAGGGAAGACAAGGCTAGCTCCCAGGAAGACCATGGCCCACATACGCAAACCCAACTTCCAACACCCTGTGGAAAGGAGCCCCCCATCTCCATCCTACCTGGCTGAGACATTGGTGAAGTGCATGTATGATGATATGACCACTCCGATGCGTCCTTTACCACCCTGCAGGAGACCACAGAGGAATCAATGTTCTTTCTACAGAATCCCACAGAGATATAACAAGACAGGAGCAGACCACTCATAAGCAGAATGACAGAACAAGCATTGATCCCTCTGCCTCCCTAATCCTGGCAAGCCTGGCACCGAATCCAGCAGTGCCTCCTCAGCAGGGAGTCTTCACACAGGGGCCTACAACAAGAGCAGGTGCTAGTTGGGTGTCTGCAGAAGTCCCCGGAGGGCATATCCACATGGCAGCAGCCAGTCATTCACCACCTCCCAATTAGGTTAGGTGAAATGGTGCCAGGAACTGCAGCAATTAGCATGACTTAATTACCCAGGTGAAACAGGAAAGAATGCCTGCCCAGGGGCTGAAAGTGACAGCGCTGTGTGTGTGTGTACAGCTCTGAGTGGCAGGATCTCTGAATATGGTGAGCTGGTGGCATCCCACACCAGTGCCCAATGGGGGCAGGGGGACGGGTGTTGCACACAGAAGGGAATCCATGTCCTAGGCAGGAACTATGGAAGTCCTTCTAGATACAACCACATTCACAGTCAGTTACCAACAGTAGAGAAAGAAGCTCTATGGCAAAGCACCCCTACTGAGAGCCACAGACTAAACTGAAACCTCAGGACACACCATTATGACATACTAACAGGGGTCTGCAGATGGCAACCCATAAGCCAGTTCCATTGTGCCCACCAACTCTATTCCTACAATCTGTGAGTTGAATTTTATTATCACATAGTTTTAAGCATTATAAAAAGAAAAAGAAAAACAGAAAAGGTTTGTGAGACATGTGAAAAGCACATGAATCTTGAATGTCCTCATCATGTGCCTGGAACCTGGCTGTTTGGCTTCAGCAGCCCCCACCCACCCTGCAGGAGCAGGCTTGAAGAAGGACCACCTGGCATGCAGAGTCTAAAATACTCTCTAGCTCTTTTGAGAAACATTTGCCAAACCTTGATCCCAAATCATATAAAGCCAAACTGGCAGGTCCCTTTGGTTTTCCCCGCCCGCCCCCCCCCCCACAGTAAGTTCTAGAGATCGGACCTTATGCACACAAGGAGGCACTTTATAACTGAGCTACACTCGCAGCCCTCAGCTCTATTCTTAATAGCAAGTAAATGAATAAACTCCAGGTCTTCATAAATCAACCGCCACGTAAAGCTGGGCATGCTGGGAGATACCAATGCAAATGTTTGGCAAATTCTTGGCAGGGAGATCTTGGTTCTTGGCATTATTAGCTAGAAAGGTACTAATGCTACTAATGTATTCTTGCATTAAATGGTATTTGTCTTAACAAGAGAAATCACTTAGAAGGAAACAGCAGCTCAGCCAAAAGCAGACCCACACATGATGGTCTTTACTGCTGATACCATCAATCATTTGTGTGGCTCTGGTTATGGATGCAAAGGAGAGATGATGTCAGGGGAGTGGGGAGCATTATGGCAATAGTGGGGACCTTGACAGCTCATCTCAAGAGCAGACAGACCATCTAGACAAGAAATAACTATGGAATTCAGACCCAAACTACCTTTCGAACTAAATGAACCTATCACACATGGACAGAACATGCCACCACCAGCAGCAGAATGTGCTTCAAGGTCACAAGGAACAAACCCAACGATAGTTCATACAAGAAGCCACAAAGTAAGTCCCAAGAGAGTAAGCCTGAATGAAACCCTATCAAGTACCCTTTCTGACCACTGTGGTGTGGAAGTATAAATCAGAATGGGAGGGGGAGGAGGGACTTGCAAAATTCTCAAAAATGTAGACGTTAAACAACATGTTACTGAAAAGCAATTCAGTCAAATAAGGGGTTAAAAGAAATGTTTAAAAATATATTGAGACATGGGCTACAGAGTTGGCTTAGTGGTTGTGCACTGGCTGCTCTTCCAGAAGACCTGAGTTCAATTCCCAGCAACTGCATGCTGACTTACAATCATCTGTAATTTCAGTTCCAGAAGACCAGATACCCTTTTCTGGTCTCCCCTGGCACCAGGCACACATGTGGTGCACAGACACACATTTAGGCAAAAACACCCATTCACATAAAATAAATATATTGAGACAAATAAATGGAAAAATCACACTAAAACGTATTGGATACAACAAAATCAGTACTAAGAGGGAAGTTTACAGCATTAAATGTCGACATCTAAAAAGAGAGGAAAGATTTCATATTGAAAAACCTCAAAAAGACCAAACTACACACAGAGTTAATATAAGAAAGAAAATAGAAAAAAGTAGAGCAGAATAAAACAGAGATTCAGAAAACAGAAAGGATCAACAAACTGAAAGTTGCTTTTTTTTTTAAGTAAATTAAAATCAGCAAAAATCAGCAAACCTTTGGCTATGATTAAAAGGAGAGAAGACTAAAAAAAACTGAGGACAAAAATGAAAGGGAAATGGCACAATCAATAGCACAAAAATGCAAAGGCCCTGAAAGGCTACCATGGACAACTGCAGGCCCATAAAATGGACATCCAGATGAAATGGGTTAAGTCCCCCAAAACACAAAACCTGTCCAAACAGAAAAATCCGAACAAGGTAAGGGGATCCAGTCAGTACTAAATCTCCCATCAAAAGCCCAGTAACACATTGCTTCAGGCAGACTGCACCAAACATGCAAAGAAATGATGACAATCCTAAAACTCTCCAAAGAGACTGAAGATGAGGGACATGGCCAAGGTCATTTTAGGAAGCCAGCCAAGTATCCCGATGTAATACCTGGATGTGTATCTTAGCTTTGTGCGCACAGTGCAGGTGCAAGTTCTCCATCGTGCAGTGAGTGTGAGCAGCTGAGGGCGAGGGAGGGAAATAAGTGTGTCCTCATTCCTGTCAGACTCCAAGTGTAAACACTGTAAGAATTTTCACTTCAGATCAGCTCTAAGCTCACAGCTTGTAGGGAAACATGTAGTAGGTGAGATGCACTTGCGGCTATAGGCTCTTAGTGTAGGCAACAGTCTTTTGGACTTCCAGTTCTCGACCTAAACAAAAATCCTAGACTCACTCCAACTAACATTTGATGGGAATCTTCCTCACCATAGACTTCCAAACAAAGTGTAAAATGTGGAAGACATTCCCCCCAGAAGCATGGCCTCTTTCAAGTTGGCAGTGGCTTGGGCATATGCTGAACACAAAACACAACCCTTATAGCCAGCAGCAGAATGGCTACTGCAGCTCAGCTGTACTCTGCCCCTGCCCTAGCTGAGACAGGTCTTTCCACTAGTCATTCTGGGCATGTGTGAAAAGAAACACCCACTGTGCAAAGCAAGCAGATTCCAGTCCTGCAGCCATGATGATGGTGAACTTTGGATGGCATCAGCAACCGCAATTTCAGATTAAAAGCTGATCTTTCACAGCACATTTTCTGGGTATTTCAAAAGTAGTTTAAAGCAATGGGCGCCCTATAGTGGGTAATGATGGGGAACTTCACAAGTCCATAAACTGGATACCCACTCAAAGAGAACCCAAAATCGCTTAAGGAAGGAGAGGTACAATATCTAGATGGTGTTTTCATCTTTGGTGATCCATATGTCTTCAATCATGTTATAACTCATCTCAGTTTCAGTAACATTCAGAATGAACAAGTAGAATAGAATGGATAGAATAGAATGGATAGAGAAACCTCAGACCTATGAATTCTAAAGCCAAACTTAGGGTTTGGGATTCATTTTATGATGAACAGAACATCTAAAATGCATACCTACATGGTGCATGTCACACCAGCTACAATTATCCTGGAAACACAGTGGTTTCCAAGACAATCAGCTGGTGCCTGTGACCAGCACTGATCTTAACCCCTGTGACCCCTTAAATGCTGGAAGCCCAGCTGGACCTCCAGAGCATGTGGGAACAGGGACACTCACCCTGCAGTGGATGACGACCACATGTTGGGGGTCACTGTTCAGCCAGGACTCCTGGGCTTTACATATGGTGCACATCTTGTCCAGAGGTGGTGCATGCAGTTCAGGCCAGCCCACATCCATGATCTGCAAGAGAGAAGAGAGCTGCCTCAGTTTCTACTTCCCGAACCTTTCTGGGGTAATCTCATAGTGATATGATCCACTTGGGAGTCACAGGGGATATTGTATAGTCCTCTTCTGAAAGCTGATGCACCCAGGTGCTGGTCTGCTCCTTTGTAGCTGGGTGACAATTCTACAGAGGACTTTCAGGGGCATTAATGGTTCAGAGTTGACTGTAGAGGAATCCAAGGCCCTCCAAGATTTAAAACAGTAGTCTGTGGCCCACACTGCTGTCAAACATTGCCTTCTCAAGCTAAAATGGAGTCTGGCAAATAAAGTGAAACCAATGTTTCCCAGACCAAGCAGACCAAACTTCAGGGACACAGAATCCTCTAAAAGCAAGGAAGTACTACCTTCAAGTCTTACTTCTATTTGGCCCATGAACACACACAAAAGAAAGAAGGAAGGAAGGAAGGAAGGAAGGAAGGAAGGAAGGAAGGAAGGAAGGAAGGAAGGAAGGAAGGAAGGAAGGAAGGAAGGAAGGAAGAAAAATAAATCACTGAGAAGGTCAAAGCCCCAAGCAAGCAGCCCTGCATCTAGCCACACATGTGGGAGGGCAACATGGGGGTGTTGCTTCTCCTCCTATGTTCTATTTTTAGGAGATGAAAGCAATAGAAAGGAGTTCAATAAGTTGGACCACAGTGAAAGCAGCCAGCATGGCAGCTCCATGAAGCTCTGGGCCCCTTTCCTGAACACTCAGCATAATGAGACACATAAAAATTCTATATTATGCTCTTAGTAGCTCTGGGGCCAGAATTAGTTTAGAGTTGTTTCAGATTCTGAGTATTTGATAGAATTTACCAGCTGGACATCCACACTCTGAAAAACCAAAATTGTAAATAAAGCAAAATCTGAACTTTTTGTGATAGCACCCCAAAAGTTTTGAATTTTAGAGCATTTTTAACCCAGATTATGAGATGATCAGCCTGCACTGTTCTAATGGTTACAAAGCATTTCAACATATAGAATATATATGTAAACACAGTCCCACAGTCCTCATTTTATCCCTAAATTCTGCTACTAAAAATAATCATGGATGAAGGGGATACTTATGACTATTAAGAGGTCTTAGAAGAGATCTTCAAGTCAATGTGAAGGCTCTTGCACCTCGATTGTGATGGCTACAAACCTAGAACATGCTAAAGTGACAGAGAAGCACAGTAAATGAAACCTGTGGACTCCAGGGATGCAGTTCTTCTGACATAGGTGTTTTATAAATGAGTATCCCTTCTTCAAAGCACATTGGAACAGACAGATTTGGGTTTTTGTCTGTTTCAAATTCTGGAATATCTGCACATATATGTATCTTGGAGACAGGTCACATGCCTGAACACAAAATAAATGCATTTGTTTCATATACACAATATACATAGCGCCTGGAGGTGTATGTATGTATGTATGTATGTATGTATGTATGTATGTATTTTTTTTTAAATAATGCTATATGTTGTTTCTAGGGTATGGAATTTTCCTTCCATGGTGTTATGGTAACATGCAACAAAGTTTTGCCTTAAAAAAAAACAAAAAACAAAAAAGTTACTTTATTCTGTATGTGTGGGGGTGATATGTACACAGAAGTGCAGTGCCTGCATCCGGCAGAATGTGTGGGGGTGCTGTGTACACACCAGTGCAGTGCCTGCATCCGGCAGAATGTGTGGGGGTGCTGTGTACACACCAGTGCAGTGCCTGCATCCGGCAGAATGTGTGGGGGTG